ACAGTTTCATGTGATATGAATGAGCTCAACAAGTATTTTACTTCAGTGAAAAACGTTGTGCAAGCTTTACCGAGTCCAAGCACAACATAACTTGATTTCCACCTTCCTGTGCCTGTCACAACAGAGCAAGTTTTAAAGGGGTTAAATGCTATGAATGGAAATAAGTCCGCTGGTCCTGATGGGTTATCTCCAGTAGTCCTTAAAACATGCGCAAACCACCTCGGACGAACCGTTTCATTTGTCTTTAATAGATGTCTGTTAGAATGAAGACTAGTTAACCCATGGCGTGATGTGCGCATCACGACTATTTTGCCGACCGACGCCAATTCATTTGTCTCAATGGTATTAGGTCTTCCAGTGTTACTGTAAACCAGGGTGTAGTACAGGGTGCAATTTTATTCCCCTTTCCGTTCTCCTTTTATGTCCGAAATTTGCCAGTCACCCCAAATGTTTTCACTTTTAAATATGTCGATGACATAATAGTTGGTGGTAAATCTCACAAGAACAACCCTTCAATTAGCCCCCTTCACTCAACCATAAGTTCTGTTTCTGAGTGGTCCGATGGTGTTATATATTTATTTTCTCATGCGTTTTAGGCCATTGGACCTACTGCTCTCCCGTTATCTTTCCTGGTCTAATGCCTAAGGATTTCATATGAATTAGACGCTCTCTGAAAAGCATCTCTAGATATGGAGCTGTATCTTATGAGGAGCTGGTTGATTCCATTGTCAACCAACACTTGAATGCTTTTGACCATCTATGTGACCCCATCTTGTGTCACATCCCCTACACACAGCCCTATCTGGCCCCATTTCAACTTCTGTAACCCGCAATAAACTTAAATCTTTATATACTCGTACCTTTGCATTTTACAACTCCGTTGTACCATACCTTTCACGTTTGTCGGTTTCTAGGGAGTGAACATCAAACGAATTTATAGGCAGTCTAATGTGAATTTTCATCTTGAAATTTTCTTTATTTTTCACTCGTTCTCATAACTATTTGTAATGTCCTTAAGGTAACTTTTAATGGTGCGCATGTCAAAGCAAAAGCGACAACATTCTTTTCACTGAAAATTCTGTGTACATTGGATGACTAAAGTGCACTCTTGACTTGACTAAATGCGCACATGTACAAAATCCGCACATCCATGGTATTCGTCTACATCCAACTGACATATGTATTTCCCAAAATTTCCCAAAATGTTGCAACTGCAAACTGCAGTGAGGTTCGAACGCACGCACACACACTATTGGTGGGCATCTCACTTTCGTAATTTGAGGACCTTAATATTTTCATATCGGTGTGGCTTTGAAGACTTTGAAATCATTCGCTCATTGGGTCGCAGTCCACTGGAGAAAAGCAATTGTTTTCAGGACAGTTAAATTTAACTAACAAGCATACTCGGTATACCATTACGAAAGTATCAGGTAAAAAGTTTGAAAAAGTCATAACACTTTATTACTAGAGGTGAACCTAATCGATGCTGACGGCCTGCCTGTAAGACTTTTTACGGATCTCGAATTACGCGAGCGACCTCCCAGTGTTTCGTTGCCCGAGATAGACAAAACACTCGTGGTTGTCGTAGATGTTTATTGGTTTATCGTGGTACCAAATAAATGCCTATTTGATGACTAAAACATACAAGCAAATAATTGCAGTAGCAAAGCAAAAATGTGCCACACGTGTCGCTTGGGTTGAAACAGGACCCAGGTTTATATACGTATACAGTTGGGCGGAAAACCGCGCTCAGTACAACACAATCAGTGAAATAACCCAGAAAAAATTAACACAGTTCGAGTCAAAGTTGATTGTGAAGAAACGTGAACGGAAAACGTCCTCGCGGATTGCTCCGTTTCTTCGTACAATCATCGTCACTACAGAGGTTACCTATTCAAATCGACGAACCGAATTCCTGTAAAGAGAGAGAGAGAGGCTGAGTGAGATAATCCACAAATCGCTCCGTGTGATTGACGGTGTTTGTTCCAGTGAGCAGGGCTTATTATCCTGATTCCGTCTCTCTCTATGATTTTCTTTTTGTATTTGTATAACTTGTGCAACCTTATTTGCTTTCATTTCACTTAAATTAAGTGCTTACTAATAGTTGGCGATCACAATAATTTGACTGGTATACTATACCGTGACAACTGATCCCAAAGCTATCTACCCTGAATGGACCACACACTCCAATACGAACTTCAGTGTAGCTAGTCGTACTGGTCAGTCGAAGATCTTATATGAATGTCTGATTCAGTTGCCTGAATCCACTGTAAACAGAAGGTAATTTCTGGACTACAGCCTGCCGTTCCCGGCCATGCACCTGGACCCCACTAATATTTCCAATTTCATTCATAGTTACTTGTGAGTAGTGATGGGAAATGAGCGGCACTGATTTGAATTGATCAACTTTCAGACGATAACCTCACGCGCAATCCTCAGTTCATCCAGTCAACCATGCTCTCGAGAAGCAGTAGACTCAAATTTTGCTCTCGTTAGAACTCAAAAGCTTTGCATATTCACAGTCCCGTTTGGACTTTGACCTCCTGCCCTGTTGCACAAAAGGCGTTTGTGCTACCGTTGTGCTGACCATAGTGCGAGTTCATGGTTTGGCCCCACCCAAAAGAAATCGAGAGAGAGAGAGAGACACAAAGTAGTCAGTCATAGGAATTCAAATCAGTGATAGATGACCCGCTCAGCTTGATGGCGCGTGGAACAATTAAACACTAAGCTACACCTTCGTTGAACAGACAAGGCGTTACAAACCAGCAGATGTCCATCTAGACCAAGATGGAACACATGTGTGAGCAAAGGACCGTGGGTTGTTTTCATGTTCGTATTACGACCATTGTGAGTCAGACAACGAGAAGAGCAGATCAATAATATTCACATTTAGTCCGTTTGTCAATAAGACAGTTCGATTCTATAGCGCTACTTACACATCTGTCCATCCGTTCGATTGATCGTCCAATCACGTGACGCAGTGGGTCATGACAAACCGTGACCAAATGCCCGGATTTTGATCAACATGCTAAATAGAGAGTTGTCACTTCCCGTGTTGCATTACGACCCCGAAACAATTCAAGTTGTTATCGAAGTTAGATTTTCTGTCTTCAATTCCACAGAATTGTTACCTTCCTCCTTGGATCACACGTGGCTGAGCAATAGGTCAGCCCCAAGAGTATCACCGATGGTATTGTATTCATTGTTGTAGATACAAACAGATTCTATACATTCACTGACTAATTATAATTCAACTGCGTTTCTCTTTTAGGCAAGGTTACAACAGACGCGTGTGCGTAAAACTATCGTAAAGAGTTGTTTACTGTTCGTCCCTTGTAGCAAAGTAGCAAACGGGTCGCGATAAAAGTCGCAGATGAAATTCCGCGATGGAGGTCGATCTTCGCATGATGGAATTCATTTTCCTGTTAACTTACGGACTTATTGGCGGTAACTAGTAGATAATTCTTTTCCAGTATTTCCTACGTGAATATACGCGGTCTAATTTCTCCAGCTGCTTGTTCAACGAATGAACGAAGTGAATGCTAGTCATTAAGGCATCCGTTTTCAGACAGACAGCGAATGCCTGCGAAACGCTATCGAACGGGGACATTGTGCATCATCGTTTTTACAGTGTGAATGTGTTCCCTATTGATTTCCATCCTGTGTAGCATAGCACGGGGGGAAAACAAATCATATTTACTTTTCCCTTGATGGAAATCCCCTATTGTACCGTTGTGAGCCCGCCTTAAAAGTGCTTTATGTGAGACAAATGATACACATCGAATTTACCAAAATTTTCCTTCTATTGGAAAACATATAACTAATCGCAAGTGATATTTGGACGCCATGTATTGTAGTATCCTCTCTGTATGCTTCTCTCTTGTCTGAAAAATGAAACAGCGAAGAATCCGAAAACTTATTAAATACCTATAAGTGTCTCTGTCTGTCTCCGTGGTGTCTCTGCACCACGGGTGTTGATCATGCCTTTCGTTAGGAGCAAGAAACTCCTAACCTCCGAGTTATGAGATATTCACAATGAAGATAAACTTTTCTCGAGTACAATAAATATATATAGTTGCTCCAGTGAACTGCGGCACACATTCGACATCTCTGAACTTCTCCAAACCAACCAGAAATCTAGCAATGGATGTATTACTTGGGGGCATTTCACGCATCATGTTGAGCAGAACGTGTGTGAATTTGTGGTTGATGACGTGGAACCGTGGATCATGGAGGTTTGTATTGGAACATCTTGTGTTAGTCGGAATAGTACTGAATGTAGGAATACGAGAACCCGTACTGGATTTGCTCCAACCCGAACTGCGGATATAAATGAAATACATGAGGAATTGATAGCAGCAAATGCTTATGTTTATTGATAGAATTAGAGTATGTTTTATAGAAGGTGATAGGCCATATGATTGGTTGAAGGACCGTCGTCCGATAACGTAATCGTTTGCATCGACGCATCACATGTACTAACTCGAATGTCATGTTCGCCCGATGTACCATTGGTTGAGCTTCCTGAACGGTGATTGGGCGACATGAAGCTGTACCCGGTCGTGCCTGACATGTGGTCACGGAAGCTGGATTACCTGTAATATTCGGAATAAGAATCGAAATCGAATAGCGTGAACTCGGAATCGGACTGAAAACCCACTGAATAGCGAGAAGTTAGATAGGACCAAGACGAGCTGTGGATACAGTTATTTCAGAAAATCATGCGAATATACATCACAAGAAAAACACAATCATTGGTCGATTGTCCAATCGACAACGATATGGTTTATTTGTTTGCCCCCTAGCATTCAGCTAATCCTGTTCATGCCAATTGAGACCACAGGATTAGTCGTTTAATCAGTTTATTGATTGGCTACCTGGAAGCTGTACCGTGGTGCGTGCATACTCGTGAAACGATCACCACAACTTCCCTCTCTCAAGAGTGCCTCGTCAATCTGGCTCGCCTGACGGCTAGATCTGCGAACTGCAATCGTTGGCTCCACCTGTTCCTGGTGGTGTCCTTACCTTTCTGTTAGTTGTGTCTTCCCATCTGATTGATGCCTCTCCGTCGGGTCTTCTGACGGGGTTTGCACCTGATTGTCTTCCTCGCATGTCTCTTGATATCGCTTGTCCGTGGATGATTTGAAGTGGATTTGGTCCACGTATCTCTTGTGCAAAGTAGCATCATTCAAGTGGGTAATTTCCACCATGGCTTGACTCAGTTGTTGTGTGACTGTACCAGACGCGGGTCACAAATTAATACCACGGAAGTACATGACGTCACTGGAGTCAAGGCTCTGTAGGGAGGGTCGAAAGCGTCTGGATTTAAAAAGCATCGCCTGGCTCTCCTTGGTGGTTGTATGTGTTGCGTTTCGGTATTGGAGTAGGAAGTTATCCACAAACGTTTCCAATTCAGGTTGCGGATTGCCGACGCAATTGCACTCTTGACCGTTTTGACTAAATTCTCTCTCTGCCGCTGCGTTCGAACAGGGGTGACGTGGCGCAGTTCGAAGATGTCGTCAACCAATGCTGTCCATCCAAAGCTTCATTTCGGTCGCACAGAACTGAGATCCATTGTCCGTCACAAGCACTTGTGGAATCCCTTCGCGAATAAAACATTTCCGGAGAACTTGTATCACAAATGATGTGGTGGGCGTCGTTGTGAAGAATACCTCTGGCCATTCGGAGTACGATTCGATCAGAACAAGGGCATAATACCGGTTCAGAAAGGGATAACAGAAATCCAAATGAACCCTTTGCCATGGTATGTAACTTCCCGGCCATGGTGTCCAGTTTTTCGGCCTTGTTCGTAGTTTATGTAAACATGGCTCACATTTCTTGGCTGTTGCGTAAATGTCTGCGTCCAACTTCGGCCACCAACACATCTGTCAAACCAATGATTTCATCTTCTCCACTTCCATATCTTTTATGTAATTCACCTAGTATCGTCTTCCGTAGTGGTGGTGGGATTACCAGTCGATCGTCGAGACACAATACACCATCCAATTCCACTGACAATTCCTCTCGTCGAGCGAAGAATTGGGGATACTTTCTCTTTACCCCTGGTGACCACCCTTTCTTGATCGCCGAGAGTATGGCTGAGTAGTATTGCTTGGTAGATTTGCGTAAAGATTCCCGAGACACTGGTGATGTTGGGGAGATGAAAGGACACTATTCGGCTTCATAAAATCGTAATTATCGAGAGGGGAAATCAGCCTGCGGGATTGTCTTTCCTGAACGATGTTGGATATCGTAGTTTTACGCGGCTAGGGCGATGCTCCACCTCCATTGCATAGCATCAGTGGACTTCTCAATGGATTTGTTGGGGTTGAATAAGAACTGAAGCACTTGGTGATCAGTGATGATGGTAAACCGCAATCCGGAAAGGTACTTGTGCAATCGTCGAATAGCCCAAATATGGCCAACGCTTCATTTTGAGTCTGTGAGTATCCCTTTTCTGCCGCATTAAGTAGACGTGAAATGCTAATCACTGGGTATCCATCGTGTTCTAATACAGCATCGATTCCGAAGCGGACGCATAGTTGATTAGTATGGTAGGCTTCGATAGTGAAAATGGGGCCAAAACAGGACGATCAGTAACGCAGCAAATTAAACCACTTAAGATATCTTCACACTCCACCGACCATTCCCAAGCGTATGAACATTGAGCACGGGAAAGCGGCTGCCCCGTTGTAGCAAAGTTCGGGATAAATCGGGAATAGTACTGTAGGTATTCCATCACGGATCTCAAATGCGTTTGATCCTTTGGAGATTCGATTTAAGTCAATGGTTTGAAATGTGTCGAATTGGGACGGTATACACGGGAATCAACTGTGTATCCCGGGAACTCCAACTCACTCACTCCAAGCGCACATTTGGACAGCTTGATAGCCACATTCCTGGCGACGAATCGTTCCAGCATCTGTGTAAGACGGCCAACGTATTCTTTCTTATAAAAGCCGAAAATGCAGACATCATCTGGATAAGCAAGCAGACCGTCGTGTCCTTTGATTACACTGTATATTGCCAATTTAAAGAAGCCAGACGACACATGCAATCCGAGCGAGAGAAAATTATACTGGTACATTACCCACAGTGTGTTGACTTTTGTAGCGAGATCCGACATCGAGTGGAATCTGTAGGTATGCGTCCGCCAAATCGATCTTGGAAAAATACTGGCAATCATGCAATGACTTTATGAAATCCTCTGGTTCCATGGTGGTCGCCGCACATCTCCGCAATCGGTGGTTCAACGTCAGTCGATAGTCTCCACATATCCGTGGTGTTCTACAATCACTTTTCATCGCCACGACAATCGAGGTCGCCCAGGCACTGGATTCAACTTTGCTTATCACACCATCCTGTTTCATTTTTTGTAACGCTTTCAGGACCCTTTCCCATTGACCGTATGGGAGAACGCTTCGTCCACTTCCAACTTTACTGACTGTATCTTCGTACCACTCACGTTACCGGAACATCTATCAAATGTTGAAGATGTGAGGTGATCGTTGTTAATATGTAGTGTGAATGATCCTTTTAGTAGCCGCATTGCTCGTTGGCCCAGAATGGACGGACTGTGGGCTGATACCAGGACTTGGATCGGGATTGACACACCGGACTCAGAATGAACACACAACATCGCCTCGCCAAGTATTTGCAATTGATAGCTGGTAACCATATGAATGCGCACTGAAAGCGAGGCTAGAACAGCATTGGGACAAATCGCAGTGAGTGCTGATTTCGGTAGGATAGATGCGCTGCTCCCTTTATCCATGATGAATCGATGCTCTATCCCAGACTCGAACCTCAGTGGGGCGAAGACGAGCTGGCAGTTGGATTCGGTGGTCTGCAGTGGGCAGATAGGGCTTGAATTGTCAACTGCCGTTGGGATATGGTAATCGACGAGGTTGCACTTGGGCATTAGGCATACCTTGCGGATTAGGCCCATCTTACCAAATGCATGGCAAGTGGCATTACGGAACCGACAAGTCGAACGAAGATGGTATTCACTACATGACAAGCAGCGGTTGTTCGCAGCCTTCAGTTGTGTTTGGCTTGAACTGGGTACTTGAGGAACCGGGGGTGAATTATGAACACTGGGTGCATCACGTAATGGTTTTGTTGATTGCCGATGGAATAACACAGGAGTATCCGCATTTGTGGCAGCACACAAATCATCACTTTGCTCACAGATTTTTCGAGCCTCATCAAACGTGATGTCTTTCTTTTCTAACATCTTACGTTGTGATGAGATGTTGTTGATTCCAGCAAAGAGACGGTCGCAAAGTTGTTCTTCCAATCGATCACCGTAGTTGCATTTTGACGCCTTTTCATTCAGCTGAAGGATGAAATCACAGCACGGCATGTTGGCAGCTTTCATCACTGAGTTGAATTTGGCCTGAAAATCTACTGGGAGAATGTGGTACAGCAATAGGGATTTCAACTTCTCGAACGGCAATTCAGCAGGAACAATCGGGAACGCTAAATTCTTCATCAGGGAATACAGCTCTCGGCCGCCCAACGTCAAAAACAGAACCGATTGATTTAGCATTCCTCCTTTCCGGATGCTTCACCATAATTCGAAGCGTTCTACCCACTCTTCGATTTCCGTGCTTCCGTGCAGGTTCAATGGTTCAATCTCCATTGCGCAACGCCAAAATGTGTTAGTCGGAATAGTACTGAATGTAGGAATACGAGAACCCGTACTGGATTTGCTCCAACCCGAACTGCGGATATAAATGAAATACATGAGGAATTGATAGCAGCAAATGCTTATGTTTATTGATAGAATTAGAGTATGTTTTATAGAAGGTGATAGGCCATATGATTGGTTGAAGGACCGTCGTCCGATAACGTAATCGTTTGCATCGACGCATCACATGTACTAACTCGAATGTCATGTTCGCCCGATGTACCATTGGTTGAGCTTCCTGAACGGTGATTGGGCGACATGAAGCTGTACCCGGTCGTGCCTGACATGTGGTCACGGAAGCCTGGATCACCACACACCTGTATCTTCATCTTACCTGTCTTTCCTCTGACCGGTATTTTACCAGGCTTTGGATGGCTCATTGCAAATGGCTGTTCTCTCGTAAGCCAAATCGCTACATTCCGCGTTATGAGTCGGTCGTTTGTCGGTAATCATGGATGTTCAAGTGAATAGGCTTGCCTCAGAATTCTGTTGGTGGTGGACAACAAAGTATATTGGGCAGATATGTCTGCATTGTTAGGCCTCATCAGTAATGCGTACCACGTTTGTGTCCCGGGTACAACTTCAAGCGGAAACGTTCAGGTGTGAATTCAAAGTTTCAAATTTCTTACTATTGAAATAACTTACAAGTTAATGCTCCTCTCGTCCCATAGGTTCGTGTTGTCGTTAAAAGACAGCGATACACAACAATTCCTTCTGTAAAATGTTACGTGATACGAGTTTCTTCCACTGCTGCACGCGACTTCACTTATGTTGGGCAGTAAGGTGTTCTAATGCTTCAGTCTCAGTCTCAGTTTGAAAGATTCAATAGTTCATCTGAGAAGTGCATCGGAATACCGAATCAAATGCGTAAAATGCGTCAACTATGAAGCTTTAGACAAGTTGTTTGCGCTACATAGAGTAAGACCTCGTTGGGAAACTCTTCATCGAGTGTATATCCTCCTCCAAATCGCTATCCGTACAGAGCAGGAGCGGCTAAGATGTGACAGCCTCCCGGTATGATTTATTCTACCCTAGATGAAAGGTAAGTAGCAACCCGTCAACAGGTCGCTAAAAAACCCCGAGAAGAAATCATTAACTACCAAGTGAATCTAGTTTCCAATTAGCTCCAAGTTAAGCTAAATACTGAGACATTTATCCTTGATGTAGGTTTTCTTTAGTGTGTGTGTGTAGTGAGTAAAGCGAAGCATTTGGAGCTGTCATGCACTGCGTTATTCTTCCTTAGCCACTGCCAGCTGTTGATGTACAACTCCGGTTGCTATAAAAGGGGGATAATAGATTTCAGGCTAGTGCTGAGATGAGCGGGGCCCGCAACAAGCTCGCAACGATAGGTTGTATTATACTGTGTAAATGGAAAATGAAAAACGGTCTGATCAGCGGCTAGTTGGCCAAGTGGGAGGCATGCTTGTGTTCTGTCTGTGAGGTACCGGGTTCGACCCGCAGTTGGGTCGATGGATTCGCGCTGCTGATGGAACCCAATCAGGTAGAAGCAGTTGTCCAGTGCTTGCTAGGTTTTCAATTCATGCTCCATTTGCTATATAAACGACCGATTTCCCTTTGAAAATGAATCAACTCCTTCAACGCTATCATGTTATAAAAAAACTTTGCAAGATTAAGCCTGCCCATGAAAACTCACTTTTCTTGAATGGTCAAGGAGACCGAAATGAGTGATCCTGAGATGAATACGAACTAATGTCTATCCAACTGTTATGGTTATTAAAGGATGCCATAGATTGAAAAGGTCAGTCGCTGCGAATGATAAAAGTTAACCTGTCAGGATTTACTAAAAATAAGATTAATCATCGACTGATAATCACATCGCCACTCATTGATCCATTTCAAATATTTTGCACTGCATTTAAATAGGCCAAACGCCATGCGTAAAAGCCATCAAAACGTGCCCGCCACGATAACTGGGTAGGGTCATCCAAAGGTAAGACTTGATGGTATCCACGGAACTACGCCTGAGAGTTTCACAACGAACAATAAGGAGCTGTATTTTGAACCAATCGAATTCACCGCGGTCCATTTAGGATTATTATAACTAGAACGATTTGAAACGGGATTTGTTATCGCCTTCTGAACCAATGATTTTCCCTTGTAAATGTTGTTCAATCCGTTGAATTTTCTCCATTAAAACTTCCTTTGACGTTCTTCCATCTCGATAAGGGAAAATTTTAGATACTGAGTGGGATGACTGATCGGCGAGTATACTCGAGTGCTACACATTAAAACGCCTCCGGTGGGATAATTTCAACCTTCCATTTTTGCTCACTTGGTATAAAAGGGACATATGATTAAAGATGAATCAGTTTTCACCCATGGATTTTGCATTCCTACGGAAGAATTTGCAACCACCGGGTTTCTGTGATACCGAAATGCCAAGGCTCTTACGTTTCACCTATTGGAACTGAATCGAATGCATATACCGATGAATATATATAGTTTTACCTGTGTGAAAACGAATTCGATTATTTCAAATCCAGTTGGGTTAACTCTGGCAGTCATACGTGCCATGGACGGGCGGTGCAGGTCAACCGGTATCGGACGTCTAATCACTGCTGTCTTGCACTTCGTTAGTTCCTATTGAGTGGCCTTTATCTGTTCCCCTCCTGAATATTGGTTTTGACTTTATCGTATATCAAATGAACAAACATTGGTAGGTTATCATTATTTTCATTTTTTCA